AAGAAAGGAAGGAAGGAAGGAAGGAAGGAAGGAAGGAAGGAAGGAAGGAAGGAAGGAAGGAAGGAAGGAAGGAGATGGAGCCTGGAGTCTGGCACAGCACAGATAGAAATGAGACTCCAAGTCAATCATAAAGGCCAAAGGAGGAGATTCAGTCCATTGCAGGGACTCTGGGAAGTTTGGCGAGGTGAGAGTCAAACCAGGATTTGTAGGATAAGTAAGACTTGGAGGGTGGGCCCAGGAGCCAAAGAGCAGGGGGCAGAATTAGCACTGGCTAGGAGGAAGGCTGGTGCAAGGACTGGAGCTCCCAGCCCAGTCCAGGGAGCAAGGGAGGCGAGGCAGAAGGGAGCCAGGGAGCCAGGAGAGGAGTTGGGCTGAACTGTGTAGCCCAGCTCCCATGGCCCACAGCTAGACAATGCAGTACAATAAGAAGTGCAGATAACTCCTGGCAGATGTGAGCTCTGGGCCTCCAGAAGAATGGGATTATTTGGCCAGGAGCATCCTGAAAGATGCCTTCTGTTCCACCTGGCTCTGCCCGGGGCGGGACCGGGAGGAGGCCTCGCTAGGAAACCACAGTCTTTTTCCCGTGGGAGCCTCTTCCTTGTTCCTTCCCACAGTCCCTCTCTGAGCTGGAAAAAGCTCACCAGTAGATATCCATGGTGGGACTGTACCCGCTGCTTCTGCTGGGAGGTTAAGAGTCACCCCAGCTCCCCATGTGGCAGCTACAGTGTAGCTTTTTAACTGCAGAAATTTTTGAAAAGTAGGTCAGTTAGCAGGTGGTGTATGCAGTGCTTAGAGAAACTATCAGCAAAGACTTCACTCAGTTTTTCTAAGAACCCTTTGTTTTTATCCTTAGCATTTTATAGCCACTTTTCACATCTACTCACCTAACCCTATCAGGAAAACAAGTGTCTGTGGCTCAAAGTAAATTTTATTCCATTGCCACTTTCTTCCAAGTGGGCTTGCTGGGACATTCAGGTAAGTCCTTCCGCACTCAGTAGCATTGCTTAATTGAAAGGCAATTAGGTCAGCAGTCTTGTAAGTTTTGCTTGTTTGCTTGCTTATTTGTTCCTCCCAGGAGAGAAAGACCACCAGCAGGCTCTCCAAACCCAGCTTCAGCCTCCCACATAGAAGGCAGGTGCAATGCTGGCAGGTGGCGTGGTGCCTAGGGCACTGGATCCCCACCTGGCTGACTATAGTTGGAGCCCCGGACCCCTGGTAGCTTGCTTTCTCACTCTCCCTCTGTCTCTCTCTCAACAAATTGAATAATAATAAATATAAGTTAAATAAAAAGAAGAAGAAGAAGGAGGAGGAGGAAGAGGAGGCGGCCACAGGGAGGTCCTGATGCAAACCCAGGACATTTCTCATACAGTTGTGTTGCTACTGCAACAGCATCCAAATAAATAAATTAATTATTTTTAAAATTTTACTATAGGGCACATGTGCTCACTAGAGAAAGAGAGAGAGAAAGCAGGAGGGAGGGAGAGAGAGAAAGTGAGAAAGCAAGCCACCAGGTCGAGGACTCAATCTTCAGTGGGTCATGTGGGAGTCCAGTGCTTTAACCACCACATCACCTGCAGAACCCCCTCAGTCAGCAGTATTTAACAACTAGGGACTAAATTGCTGGATATTTACCTAGTTCTAATCTTTTCATAAAAACTTAGAGCTGTTGGAAGGATGAAGGTAAGGAAAAATAAAGAAAATATCAACAAAAATATGGGAAGAAAAGCCAGCCTCCCAACTGGGGGAAAGCTTCAGTGTTTCATTTGGGTATTAACTTGCCAGTTTTCCTGTCTTGCATCTCCTGCTCCCTGCCAAGTTGTTTAAGGGGAATATTTGTAATTCTTCTCCTCATGTTTTGTCCCTCCCAATTAACTGTTTGAGTTCACAGAAACAGACTTGAAAGCTGATCGTGTCCTCAGAGATGTCAAAAATCTGCCAATGGCCTGGCGGCTGAGATGGAGTGATGGTTGGCAACCCTGACTGAGTTTCTGGGACATTATCAGCAAAAATAATACGCAGTTCTCGTTGTACAATGGGAGTTTGGTTTCTGAATTTACTGTGTCAGCAGAACTAGCCAGAAGCTATTAATCCAGATTCCAACTCTGAATTAAT